GTCCGGGGACGCGGGGGGAGGAGCTGGGGACACGCGCGTGGCTCAGCGGCGGGTGGCAGCGGGGCTTTCTGCTTCCCGCGGGGGGTTGATGGTCCTCCCCGTGCTGGAAAAAGGCCTTTAAGGTGCAGTTGGATGTTTCGATATTTATGTGTCAGAGTAACTCGTTGCCGCTTGGAAAGCGGGTCTAGCGGAGTGGCTTGGCAAGGAGAGGGAGCGAGGTGGGCTGAAAAAGCAGGCAATGATTTACAGAGTGCGGGCTCCCCGTGTACTTTGTGCCTTGAGTTTAGATTCCCTGGTAGATGTGGTGCTTTTTGATAGTACAGCCAAGTGCCCTGCAGTGGCTGGGCAGCTGCTTTGCTGCATTTGGTGCAATTTTATAACGCCCTGGTAATAAAAAGTAGGATGGAGAAAGCTGATAGTTGTAGGTGAAGGGCATGTTTGCCTAATTGTGGCCCCTGCAGAGGCTATGCTATAGGAGTGGGTATATATTTTTTTTCTGCTTCAGGGCCATGGCTTTGTAGCTTCAGGGTTTTTTTGGGGGGTTGCCAAACTCAGCGTTTCCAGTTCTGCTGTTTGAGGTACAGTGAGGGTGTCAGCTCATTCAGGCAAGGCCCAATATCACTTTCTGTAGCACAAAAGTATTGCAGAGAAGCCTAAGCTACTTTGTTAACATTTTCCTGTATGCACACGCAGGTGATGGACGAGACCTGGTGAGCTCAGCAGGTGGCTCCTGTTCCGCTCATTTCTTCCAGGCACTGAAACAGCAGAAGGCTGAATGGCTGCGGGGTTGGTTTGGGGAATTTGCACTAAATTCCCTCTCGGTGATTTCCCTGGAGCAATGCGGCTTGCTTGGCCACACAAATGCATTCAAACATGCAAGTCTCGGGTCTGGTTTGTTCTTTCTCATTCAGCTTCCTGAAAGCAGGCGTAGGGCCATGAAGCCTTTGTGTTGAAATCAGTAATTTCAAATCGGGGATTCCTTCCAAAAGGATTCTTTCCAAAAGCCTCCTTTGGTTGAACAAGAAATCTTTTAAATGAACCATGCAACAAATGTCCTCTTTTTTTGTTGTTGTTGCTGTTCCGTTTCAGGTTATTAAATGCAAGGCTGCTGTTGCCTGGGAGGCAGGTAAACCCCTCTCGATTGAGGAGGTGGAGGTTGCTCCACCAAAAGCTCATGAAGTTCGTATCAAGGTAAGAAAATTAATTGTTAAATTCATGCATTGTATGCTGGGAGCCTGAGTATTAAAGTGAGTGTTTTCTTTGCCAAGCAAATTGTTAAAGGCATTAGTTCCTTAGTGTCCTCGCTGCTTTTCCAAGGAAGAAAATGGTAGATTATTTTTTTATTATTATTTTATTTTTGTCTTCATGAAAAAATTGGTCTCAGTCCACACTGCACTAAAGGTTGTGGCTGGCCCTGGGGATCACTTCTAGTTACAGGCTAAGTGTCCACGGAACATCTGAGCAAGAAACATCTTTGATCCTGTTGGAGGGCTGCAGCTTGTGACCTGTTGGAGTTCTATAACACGGAGCTCTGTGTGTGTTTTACTTAATTTGGGCCGTGAATTATGGGCTGTTGAACGGAGATTATTCTTTCAATTCTCCAAACCGAAGATGCTTATTGTCTGGGACATTTTATTAGTCCTTATCTGCCAAAAAGTATATGTGAAGGTGAAACTTATCTGTGTGGAAGGGACTGTGCATGGTCTGCTTAAAATTTAGACTGGGTTTATGCAATACTGCAAGTTGGGTGTGGGTTTTCTGTTAGTATTACCTTTGAGAGATATCAGTTACTTCAAATACGCGATCTCTGCTTTGAGGTGTTTTAGAGGGCTAATTTTCAGTGTCCTCTTCTTCCAATTTCAATGTCAGGGTTTAGCTGATGGAAGCAAGAAAGGATGTATTGTGACTTTCCTGTTTCAGAACATCATATAGCAAGCACCTTCCCAGCAGTAAGAGTATGTTGGCAGCACTGCAAAAGCTGCTTGCGTTGGCGGGCTTGTCCCTGCAGTAGTCCTGAATGACTGGCTGTGGAGAAATACTTAAATCAGTGCTGCTATTCATCCTTCAAGGCATGGAGGTGCCTCAGATTCTGTATTTATTTATAGTTAGTTGCCACTGCTGTCTGTCACACTGATGCCTATACGCTGAGCGGTGCTGATCCTGAGGGATGTTTCCCTGTGATCCTGGGTCACGAAGGAGCGGGGATTGTAGAGAGTGTTGGAGAAGGAGTAACAAAAGTAAAGCCAGGTGAGAAAAAAATCTTGCAAGTCTTATTTTTGCTTGCATAGTTTTCCTCTTTTCTGTGAGGTACTATGTTCATCTGTCTGATGTGCTGTTGACTGAAAGTTTGAAAGATCCCGGCTTTCAAGTTCTTACCTGAAACTGGGTTAATATTTGAAATGGTGCTTGTTTCCTGTTGCTTTAGTAGAGGGCTTAAGAGATGTTAAAACATATTTGCTTCACTATTGTTTTTTGGGGTGTTCTGCTCTGCAGTGATGATCCTGTTTTCTTGGGGATGTGTAAATTTTGTTTGGTGTATGCTCAGATATGAGGAAAACAGCATTTTATCCAGTGCAGTCTGTAAACACTGCTGCTTTATTCTGTAAGCAATTTCTAAAACACAAACAAGGTTTTAAACAGGCTCACATAAAAGCCATAAAAATCAAATAACTGTGTTTTTCCTAGTGCGTTGCTTGATTCGATAACTAGCCTTTTTTTTGTTTGTTTTTTGTTTTCCCTAGGGGATACAGTTATACCTCTATATATCCCCCAGTGTGGAGAATGCAAGTTCTGTAAGAACCCTAAAACTAATCTGTGCCAGAAGATAAGGTTTGTATGATTTTTCATTTTCACGTGTGGCTTGGCATTTGTTCAACATGCACCAGATCTAGTTGTGAAACGTGAATGGTGGGAGGTGCCTCTGGGGAATAAATTTCTTGATGTATCATTTAATGACTTGGGAAGTGCATGCATTAGGGAGGTAGGCAGTACTTTCTATTCTCCTTAACATGTAGGTTCTTTTTTGACTTTTTATAAAAAGTGGTTTGGCTGTTTTTGTGTATGTGAGGGTGTGAGCTGCTAGCTTGCATCCACAGCTTTGGAAACACAAGCACTCTTACTCTATCTTTAATCCCTGCTTAGGGGAAATACTTCAGGGAATGTAGCTTGTGGAGTAAGCAGCAAATCTGTTTTGTGGTGCAGAGTTGTATGGCAAGCCCTCTTTGCCTTCACTCTGCTTCCCAGCTGAATTTCCAGATAGGTCCAATAAGCAATCAAGGTGATGGAGAAGGGAAGGCTGTGCTGTGTTTGGGAGTGATTTCCTGTAAATGCTCTTTGATAGGTGGTCTAGCTGTGGTGCATTAAGTAGATTTAAGCGGTCGTAAAAATCAAGATCTATGCCCATAGTATCTAATTTGTGCAAGCTTTTAGGTTCAGTGGCATGTTTCAGAAAAGGAGGCGCACTTATGCAGCGGTACCCCCGTGTGTTTAATGGATACTCTCTGGTGAGGATGGTCACTGCTTAGATTCTGAGTGTCCCCTCCTGTCTTTGCTTTAAGAATCACGCAAGGGAAAGGACTCATGCCTGATGGTACCTGCAGGTTCACCTGCAAAGGGAAGCAGATTTACCACTTCATGGGGACTAGCACCTTCTCAGAGTACACTGTGGTGGCTGACATCTCAGTGGCCAAGATAGATGCTGCAGCACCCCTCGATAAAGTGTGCCTGCTGGGCTGTGGCATCTCAACTGGCTACGGGGCTGTTGTGAACACGGCTCAGGTAAGGGCTCTGCTTGCCTCTTGCTTTTCCCTGTGATCAAATGGCTTAGCAACGCTACACCTGAGCTAGAGGACACAGCCAGCGTAGGGACTGGTTCAGAACACTAACTGTGAGGCACCAAATTTCTGCTTCTTTATTCTCTTTAACTGCTGAAGTTTAGCCAGGAATTTCTAATCTCTCCGTAAAGACCAGAACAGCTTAGAAGAACCTCATGACTTGTAGAGGAAGACAGTGAAATATTTTACATCCTACTTTGAAGAGCAGGGTAAGACAGAGCTGCTTATTGAGTGTGCATGGGGCCAGAGCAGGCTATGGGAGCCAGGTGCACGGTCACTTTGAAGTGTTTGGGGCCTTAGATTTCAGTAGCCTGACGTGTGTGGGGGTGGAATTATGGCTGAGATGGGAAGTGGCTGGTTTTTGCAAAGCTGTTGTAAAAGCATCGAGTATGTCCTTTGACATCTGCCTTCCATTCAGCTGTGTAGAATTACTCCACAGCTAAGCCTCACCAGATTAGTTCTTCCTCATCTTTAGGCAAGAAAGTCAGGCTTGGCACTTGAAGAGCTTATTGGATGAAACTTCTGCACAGTTCCCCTTCTCTAAGTGGTAGAGTGTTGTAGCTGCATGTATTTGCTCACACATCTTCAATACAGACTTCTTAACGTGTTCTACACTGACAAGGAAGGAGGAGTTTTCTTGGTGTTGCTGATGCTCTTCTCTCACTCTTTCAGGTGGAACGTGGCTCAACCTGTGCTGTCTTTGGATTAGGAGGAGTTGGGCTGGCAGTTATTATGGGCTGTAAAGTAGCAGGAGCATCCCGGATCATTGGCATTGACATTAACAAGAACAAGTTTGCCAAAGCCAAAGAGTTTGGAGCCACTGAGTGCATTAACCCTCAAGACTTCAAGAAGCCCATTCAGGAGGTGCTGGTTGAGATGACTGATGGTGGGGTCGACTACTCGTTTGAATGCATTGGTAATGTGGGAGTCATGGTGAGTGATGGGTAGTTGCTACTTTGAACTGCTATAGCTAAATGGGAGAATGAGTTGCTTGTTACAGAAAATATGCCATGTTTTGGGGGTTTGTCTTTGTTTTTGGAAGGCAGGGGAGAGGGGAATAGTAATGATACCTGCTGTGGCAAAAAAAAGCCAAATACAACCACTCGTAATTATATGATGAAAGCAAATGCTGCTTCGATTGGAAATGGCTTGCTTATACTTCACAGACTTTTCTGCGTAATAGGAATTCTTTAAAACATTGACTTTTTGTGTGTTGACAATGGAGGAAAAAAAAAATACAAAAATTACATATAAAAGTTACTGTACGTTGAAAAGTAAAATCTCAGCACTTGGCACCTCCTTTCTTCCACAGTAATTAATTTTCTCTTCAGAAATAGAGAAATAGGTATTACTTTATCTATCACAACACCCAGTGGGATTTCAGACTGATTGCTCTGGCAGCTGGATGGTATATAAAAAGAGCAAAATGAATCTTGAACAGTATAAGGAGTCTGAACCAACTGAAAATTTAATGTAGTTTTCAGTGTACTTCCTGTTGCTTAAATGCTGATGTGGTGAATCTAACTGGAGGAGGGGAAAGGGGAGTTTAACCTGTAGCAGTGCAGATGTGCAGCGTAAACACTGGTGTTAAATGCTCTGTTTTGCCCCTTTGTCCTGCAAGAGGGCTGCCCTGGAAGCCTGCCACAAAGGCTGGGGAGTCAGTGTCATAGTGGGAGTCGCTGCTTCGGGACAGGAGATCTCCACCCGGCCGTTCCAGCTGGTAACGGGGCGCACGTGGAAGGGGACTGCGTTTGGAGGTAACTTACTTCTGTGGTGACGATAGAGACAACTTAGGACAGCTTAAATGAGGGAAGAACAAACTGCCTTGCTTTTGCTTGTGGAAGAAACTTACTACTGGCAGGTTAAGAACACTGTGTTGGCTTGTAAAATGTGACATTGCTATAGACAGGCTACAGATCTTTGATTTTGTTGTATCGCACTCAGATTTCAAATGCAGAACGCAGCTGTACGCTATTCAGCTGTAACAGAACAGGTGTGGAGTTATTTGCTTTATTAACAGCCGAACTTTTGGGGATATGCAATGGGAGGACCTGATCTTTGGGGACACTGCAACTTGCACAAACATGTTTTTGTTGTCATTAGGCAAACTGTGGGGCTTCATGTGGGGAGGGGGATGGGGATGGAGAATGTCACTTAGTAACTAAAAAGGAAACTTGTTGCTATAAAAGAAGCTTTAAAACAAAAGCAACAAGTTCGCACTCAGCCTTTGCTGTTGTAAAACCAGAACCATGTGGAGACTTGGGGAATTCAGTAACTGGTGAAGTTCATATAAGTGTCCAAACCTCACACCACTCATAGGCTGCTCTTTTTCCATGTGGTAGCAAAGATGACGCAGAAGGGTGAGTGGAGGTGATTTCTGAGGTGAGGGCTGCTGTGTGCTCAACACTGAAATACCAGTGAGAGGTTAGTGCACTAGTGGCTTTGGCCAATGTCAGACAGCCTGTCCTCTCTCTTGCCAGACAGCCTGTCCTGCATTCCTTATGCCCTCGAGAGGAGCAGGAGGGGCAAATGTGTCACTGACTGGAGGCCTTCAGTTTCTCACGCTATCTTATCACACATGTGATCTATCCCAAATGTATATGTTTCTGTTCATCTCTGTGTTTAGAAGTGGGAGGAGAGGAGAAAAACAAATGCATATTTGCTTTCTTTCAGGCTGGAAGAGTGTAGACAGCGTACCGAAACTGGTGACTGACTACATGTCCAAAAAGATCAAAATTGATGAGTTTGTGACACACAATCTGCCTTTTGACAAAGTTAACGAAGCTTTTGAGCTGATGCATTCGGGAGAGAGGTAATGTTGACACACGATCTGCCGTTTGACAAAGTTAACGAAGCTTTTGAGCTGATGCATTCGGGAGAGAGGTAATGTTTATAATATTAGAGGGTGTAGAAAAGGTTGCCTGATGGGAGTTGTCTGTGGGCATAGATGCATCTGAGGGGAACAAAGGGACTAACATGGGGATACAGTGGCCAAACTTGAATCTGCAGGTTAACAGTCTACAGCCCTAAACAGAAAAGGGGGAAAGGAGCAGTCAGTTTTAGCCTCAGATGTGTTAGACCTTGTCCTGCCATGTTAGACCGTGTCCTGCAGTATATTTCATGTGTGGGCTTGTGATAGAGGCCAGCTCGCTTAGTGCTCACCTCTTAAATGAAGAGTTTTAATGAGATGCTCTTTGATTTGCTGAAAATTCAGAGACCCTTAATGAAATAGCTACCAGCACCAGAGTAGCTTAGAGCAACATCCAGCTTATTAGCAGTCTGTTTATTACTTTTAAAGCATATGTGGTGAATGCAAGGAAGATTCAGCTGACAGACAAGATGAGAGGTGGAAAGATTGAGTTAGAGAATCTCTTCCTGCACATTTGCAGTAAATATAGGCAATTCTGCTTATTCATATTTAGGTTTATCTACATACAGATGAATAGAGCTGCATACATTATGCTAGGAACTCATGTTTCTCTTTGTAGTTGACCTCAGTTCCTACTGGTTTTGATTTACTGTATGTCACTTCCTTACAAATAGCTGACGATTTCTCTCTAATCTGATTCTTTCATATTTAGTTTATACATAGTCCAATTTCAGATGATTCATGTGACAGTTATTGTACTTCTTACAGCTGGAAACACTGCATTAGCTATGCCAAGTTCATCCAGCAGTTGATCTCTCTTCCCAGTTGTCAGATTGTGCCTCATCTCAGTGCTTTATTTCTAAGCATGGAAACTAGTAATGAATGGTAAAATGCTCCAGGCAGCAGGAAGAGGAGGAAATGCCTCTACCATTTGTCGTCTTATCAGGTTTCTCGGCTAGCTCTTGAAAACAGACACTGAAACTTCCATGTTGACTAAAACATAGTAGCAGGCTTCATAGCCTATTTTAGGCAAGAATTTGAATATTCATTATAGGCGTAAGCAGAATTTAGTTCTTACAGGAGATGAAAGCTGAGCAAAAGTATGCTTCAGCAACAAATGGGGAGGGGAGAGGACTAAGGTGGAGCAAGTGAACTTATTACTGCTAACTATTCTTTTTCCCCCTCCTTTCATTTTAAGCATTCGCAGTGTCCTAAAGCTTTAGAGCAAAGTGTGGACCGTCCGGTTGTTCAGCAGTGCGGTCACCGTCCATCTATAGTGGAATTTCTGATGGAGTATGACCAGGTAAATGAAGACTCACAGGGACTAGAAAGACAAAGTATCTTAGGAGAGGTATTTTTAGTAGTAAATAACCTGCTTTTTGACAAAACAATCAAAAAATAACCGCTGAATAATGTTACATAATGAACCCTGATCTTGAAACTCTGTACTCATTCCTTATATGTAGTGCTTATCTCTCAGCCTCCTTATTAAAAGGTTATTTCTAATCACAGTGTTGGAATTCTTGAGCATTAAGACACTCACTGCAGAGGATTTCTGTTTTTCCTTGAGTGCTTTTACAGCATGTGCACACAGTATGGAGGAATAGCAGTCTTCTGAGCCAACAGTGAATTTGGTGAGAACTACAGAAAAACAGAATGAGGTCATGAGCGTAACAACAGTCTCCTCTTGGGGTGCACAAAAGGACAGTAAAGGGCACAGTGTGAGAAAAGCTTTGCTATTTAAGTGTCATAATTTGACATTGCAGTGTTTTGATTTTATTTATTTATTTATTTATTTCCTAAGCCTCTGAGGTTTATCACTACTTCCTTATTGTAGTTGAAGTGACTTAACTACTTTAGGATTTCTTAGAACTGAAACATGGATGCAGAGCAGCATGCCCCAGAAAGGGAAGGGCAGAAAGCAGGCTGAAGCAGAGGCAGAAAGGATCCTGCATTAAGAGCAGTAAGAAATATATGCATGTCTGTGCAGTTTTGTGTGTGCACCAAGGCCACCGGTCAAGAGATTCGATGTTTCAAGCTAATATGAGCGTGCAAACACAGCTGTTTCAGGTTACTCTTTGAATCCAAACACTAACTTGTTATTGGTGAGAGGCAATTTCTTCCACTAGTCATCTTACTCCATGATGCTGCTATACAGCTGGGACAGCTTAAGTATTATTCCATCTACCACTAAAAACATATCCTTAGAGTATTCTCAAAATAGATGAGTTGGCTGGCATGAAGTTAGAAATACAGCAGAGTAAACAACAAAATCTAAATCATGTGTGTGTCTTAAGCAGTCAGTTTGGAACATCAAAAGAAATACAAACTGAATTTGTACCTGGGAAGTGAGCCATCTGAAACAGCAATGAAGTGATTCTCAGTACTTGGTAGCTCCTGAAACTCTGGTTGAACATTAGCGTTCAGAGAAAATTGCTCAAAAACCAGTTGCAGCTACAGCACCCTGTAACTAAAGGATCAATAATACATTATTATCTTGGGGCTCAACATCTCAGCAAAACTATGCCTCAGTTGTATTAAATTCAACTCGAGTGTTTTACAGTGTCACAATGGGGTCTCTAGGTTGCACACAATAAATCAAGATGTACAACCCTGCTGTCTGTTTTATATTACTGCACTAGTGAATCTACAACTTTGTATTGGTGGAAAGCTAGTATCCAATCCCAGGATAAGCCAACAACAATGGATAAAAAAATTAGCTAAAGATATTGAGGAACTGCAGCTTCTTCCCAGCCTGAAGAAGTGATGTCTTAGGCACTGTGCAGTGAAGTTGTCAGCCCACTCTGTCCTGTAAAGCAACTGCTTAAAAGCAGCATCTTAGAAGTATCATCTTTGAAGATATTCAGCTAACAGAGGGATACACTAGCACAAGGGTTCTTCCTTACAACCTGTTCTTAGTGTTAGGATTATAAACTATTAAAGTATTAAACTACCTGCCTACCCTTTCGAAGAACTTCAAGAAACATGAAATGTATCCATGAAATGACAGTGCAGTACGTGCAGTAACTTTGCTGGCTGTCATGTAAAACACAAGAGCAGCACCAAAATTTCACTGTGCCCCTCCTCAGTACAGCTTTGTCTGTCTTGTCTTATGGTGTTATTTTTATTCTGCCCTAGCTATTCTATAAGTATTCAATTTGCAGAAACATGATAAAACATTTCCATAGTCTGAGCTCCTACATGGTTTTGGAACTAAAGATGGTAGTAAAGGGAAATGCTTCAGGCCAGACTGCATGATTATGTTTTTGGTAGGAGTGTGCATAGTTTTTAAAAAGCACTATTTGCTGTCTTATCTTACAAGAAGTTTGCATCAGCTTGCTATGTCTGAAAATTCTGAAAAACGGAATGCTTTCCAAACCCAGCCAGCACAAGTCCAATATGCAAGGGTAAGCAAAGCTATACCTAGAGAGGTGGAGGTAAAGGGGAACTCACAAAACAGTGGAATGAAAATAAGTTCTGTTCTTCAGACTCATTTGTTTTCTTATGTGTAACAGGTATAGATGATGCCTGAATTTTTCAATTAAGTTCATTAACTCAGTAAACAGTGTGGACAACAAGTTGACCATGAGGCAGCAGTGTGCTCTTGTGGCCAAGAAGGCCAATGGGATCCTGGGGTGTGTTAAGAAGAG